TCAATGTAAACACTAAAACTACACAATGCTGCCATTTCTTTTACCTTGTGTTGGCACATCTGCAAGTTTCCTGGGAGCCTTTTAATTTGGAAATAGCCAGGCCTCCTTCATCACAAAGAGGTGTGCCTAAGCCCACATGGGGAAGAGTTCAAAAACTGCATCTCTTCCTTCTCCAGAAGACACCGGGAAGGTGTGTGAGTCTAATGCAGGGATCCCAACCCTGCCAGGAAAAGGTAAGTCATGTCAGTATCCTGTTTTCCCGAATCTGACATGAGAGGAGGGGCACTTCACTTCTGCGGTATCTTCCCCAGTCTAAGCACAAGAAAACATCAGACAAACCAAGATTGAGAGAAGTTCTACAAAATTCCTGACCAGTACTCTTCCAAAAGTCATGGTCTTCCAAGGTCATGGAAAACAAGGAAGTCTGAGGAATTATCACGGAACAGAAGAGACCAACAAGACATGACAACAGAGCGCAACACTGTATCCATGATGGGATCAATATTCAAACCAATTACTGTGGTTAATTCCCCTTTACATTCCAAGATCCACAGTGGATGCCTGAAAAAGCAAATAGTACCAATCCCTACGTATATGATGTTTTCTCCTATACATTCATAGCTATGATCAAACTAATTTACACATTAGGCACAGTAAGAGATTAAGGACAATAAAACAGAATTATAACAATATGCTGTAATAGAAGTTACGTGAATGTGGACCACCCGCCTCTCTCTCCTTCTCCCTCCCCCCTCTCTGATAACCAGTCTGATAACCGAGAACGCTACTAAGTGACAGAGGGCAGGTAGCAGACACACGTGGAGATGCTGGAAAAGGCAGGACACGGCAGGACTCCATCATGCTGCTCAGAATTAAAACATATGAATTGTTTATTTTTGGAATTTTCCATTTAAGATTTTCAGAGCAAGATCAACCGCGGGTAGCTGAAACTATGGAAAGCAAAACTGCCAATCAGGAGAGCAGTACTATAAATCGGGATCTTGGGCACCTGAAGCTGTCCTGGTGATCCCAGGGTGCAGGCAGGGTGGAGAACCATAGAGCAGAGTTTCAGCCACGCATGCGTCAGAACCCCTGGAGGGTTTATGAAACAGCTGGGCCCAGCCCAGACTTTCTCTTCAGCAGGGCTGGAGCGGGTCTGAGCATTTGCGTTTCTAACAAGCTCCTAAGTTATGCTGATGCCGCTGGTCCTGGAACCACACCTTCAGAACCAAAGCCTGGTCCTCGGACCAGCGGCATCAGCATCCCCTGGGAGCTGGTGAGAAATGCAGACTCAGCCCACGCGGACCCGCGGAGTCAGAACCTGTGTTTTGAGCAGAGCCCAGATCATTCGTGTACATGTGAAAGTCTGAGAAGCGCTGCTCTGGAACGGAAGTGCAGGGGGACGTGAGGAGACGGGAGCTGAAATGACAGTAGTCAGGGGCTTGGTCCCGTCACTCCCCGTCACCAGCCTGGCCTTCCCCTCTCACCTGGATAAGGGAAAGTAGGACGGAACATGGGAGCAACTCTGCACCATTAAGCCAAAGACGGAACTGAGCAGTGTCCTGTGCCCTGGTCAGTGCTGTCAGGGGCACGGTGACCTGGCTGGGAGGGGCGCTGGCTGCGGGCAGGACTGAGGCGCCAGGGAAACCAGGCCAGGAGGCACGCGCCACGGAACGGACATGGCAGTTACAGCCTAAGGTGTAATACTTACTCTGCTGAGGCTGACCTCGTCCTTCTTGAGAAAAGGAGAGAAAGCCAAGCCAGTCTGTGCAGCTTCATAACAGGCTTTACTTCAGGAAGGAAGGAGAGGGGAGGGAGAAGGAAAGGAGGTGAAGGCAGAGCCTTTCTGAACAAATGGGCTTTTCCCAAAATGTATGCGGATGCCAGGCTTGGGGGCCGGAGCCTTCCAGGGATCCCCTCTGGCCAGTCACCTGCAGCAGCGGCACCCAGCCACGTGCAGAGACCTCTGGTTACATAAGGCCCTCCCAATCCAGCCCAACCTCACTGCTCCCACAGGCCAGGCTGCAGCCAACACACCCCTCTCTGTGGCTCGGTCCGTTCCACTAAGAATTGCCCGATCACCAGTTCCCCACTTTGACCCCTAGCTCCTCGTGGCCATAACCTTAAGACCACTTAAGCCCAAGTCACTCCACAGGGCTCCACTTAACTCCTCATAGTTGCTGACACTGAGGGTAAGTCAATGCCCCTCAACCCGCCCAAGGGTCTGCTCCAGGGCCTCTGGGAGCCTCTCTGGTTTCCTGAGCTTCATTACCTGCTTGCACTCTGAGCCCTGCAGCTGGGGCAGGGGGGCCTCAGCAGCCTGTAAAGCGGCAAGTGACGACCTCTGACCCCGTCAGTGGGCTTGAGCACTGAGGAAACGAACCTGACATCAAACAAGGCAACACTCCTCAGGGATGATGACTGACACGTGTAGCTTTTTTATTTTTATTTTTTTTTATTTTTAAATTTTTTCTTTATTGCTCTTAGAGAGGAAGGGAGAGGGAGAGAGAGAGATAGAAACATCGATGAGAGAGAACATTGATTGGACGCCTCCTGCATGCCCCACACTGGGGATCGGGCCCACAACCCGAGCATATGTCCTGACTGGAAATCAAACCGGTGCCCTCTTGGTGCATGGTCGACGCCCAACCACTGAGCCACACCAGCTGGACACGTGTAGCTTTTTAATACACAGATTTCAACACCCCTGAAAACCAAATACAGCCGTCCCTCGCCATTTCACACTTCGACTTTCAAGGCTTCACTCTATCGCGGTTTTTTCTAATATATTCATTAAAAATCAATAAATAGCCCTGGCCGGTTTGGCTCAGCGGTTAGAGCGTCGGCCTGCGGTCCAGAGAGACCCGGGTTCGGTCCCCGCTAAGGGCACGTACCTCGGTTGCAGTTTGTCCCCGGCCCTGGTTGGTCGTGCGGGTGGCAGCCACTCGATGTGTCCCTTTCACATCGATGTTTCTCTTTCTCTCTCTCTCTCTCTCTCTCTCTCTCTCTCTCTGTCTCTCTCTCTCTCTCTCCCCCCCCCCCCACTCTATCTAAACAAAAAATGGAAAAATGTCCTCAGGTGAGGATAAAAATAAATAAATAAATAAAGTTGACCGAGACAGTGAAAACGATACATCTTGAGCTCGGTTGTCTGAGTCAATTATACACCACTGTATTACAACTAAAATTACTGTATGTAGGGACTGTAGGCCTGTGTATTCGAGCACCCCCGGAATCCTTCAACGTCAGGTACAACCGCTAGAGTCTGGAACGGATTAACCACGATAAACGAGGGACGACTATATTCTGAGATTCTAAACATCTGTGTGTTTACTGAGCACTTACTACAAGCCAGGACATCTGCACCTACAGGAAACACATCTGAGGGGTCTCTCTCCTCCACCTGAAAAGAGGAAGGCACAAAAAATAGCCATATTGCCCAAGTGAAAGAAGCCAAAGCCTATATTGACCAAGTATCCAAGTGTTAAAAGAGAAAACACTTCACAGGAAGCTGGCGATGTCTTCCTGACACATTGTCATTGCTGGGAGAAAAAAGCCACAGGACTTGCCTGGGAAGCACCAAACCATGACAAGTCCCACAGGCAGGAGGCAGCAGGGCCGCAGCCCCAGCGGAAGCTCACGTGAGCTGTCTCTGCACCGCAGGACAGACAGGGGAGCCGCTCCTGCGGCTCTGGGCTCGCAGCGGCCCCGCCCAGCCAAGCAGAAGGCGCAGGCCAAGTGCACGGGATGAAAAGACGACAGAGTGATGCCATCTGATAGAGACTCTGCCTGGTCTTCGTCGCTGGGAAAGAACTGAACTCCTTGGAATTTCCCAGCGACAGGAGTGTGTTTGATATTCATGCTGTGCCCCTTGGATCACACCTGAGTTTACACTAGATGACTCAGGACGGGCGACATCAGCCCCATCTGTCTGGGGAGGGGAGTGGGCTGGAGCTTAAGTTCAATGATGTGGTCAATGATTCAATCAATCCTGCCTGTGTAATGAACCCCTGACAGAAACTGAGCACTGAAGGTCCGTGCACACTGCTGTGCCAAGGGCGCCATGTCCTGACTCCCCAGGAGAGGACAGGGAGCTCTGCATTCAGGAACCCCCAGACCTCACCATCGGCATCTCTTCATTTGGCTGGTGCTGACTGGTCTCCTTTATAATAAAACTGTAATCACAAATATAGTGACCTCCTGAGTTCTGTGAGGCATTCTAACAAATTATTAAATCTGAAGGGGACGAGGAGTCTCCAAATTTGTAGTCAGTTGGTCAGAACTGCAGGTGGCCTGGGGACCCCCAAACCTGCAGCATGTGTCCAAAGTGAGAGCAGTGCCATGTGACCTGAAGCCTGTGGAGTCTGCACTCACAGAGTCTGCGTGGGCAGTGTCTGACTGCACTGCGGAGCCAGCAGTCCAGGTCCATCCTGTCTAGGCCCCGGGGAACATGCTGGACTCAATCTGCATTTTCCAGGACTTTTGGTCTCCCTTACCCATCCACTCCCCCACTTCCACTGAAAATCTACTTCCCTCCAAAATCTGGGTGTTGAGACCCAATGCTGGTACACATGACAGAACAAGGAGCAAGTGTGACCCACCTCTACAGCACTGCGGGGTAAAAACACAGCATGGACCCCTGCTCGGCAGCTGTGTGACTTCAGACAAATCACTAAACCTCTCTGAGCCTGGATTTCCATCTCTGGGAGATGAGACTAATGACCCCACTTTCCTTACAGAGCTGACGGGACAATCGATGACAGAACTTATTACAGAGAGCCTAGCATGTTCTCCAGTGGAAGGCACTCAGTATCATCAGCCTACTCCTCCGCTCCTGTTTTCAACTGCCCTGTACCCCAAACTCTTCTAGCCCCCCTACTCTCCCTGGATATCTGTTCTGGGTGCTGGGCCCACTGGCAACATGCTGATGCGTTACATCCCAGGCCAGCAGGAAGCCAATCGTTAGACCAAAAGTAAAAAGCAAGTCACCATTACCTGGAGCAGAAGGGACATTTGTTTTTACTTCGGTGGCTATAACAGACACCGTAAAGTACAATAGCCAGTATGCAGCCTCATGATTAGTAACAGATCTTGCAAATTATTCTCTCAGGCCCCTAGGTACATCCAACTGGTCACTAAGAACAATTAATTCTTTCAGGAAATAAAGGGACTGTGAATCATCTCTGGTCAGTAGAAAATCTGCTGATATTATGAATAACAAGAACAGAAAATAAGACTCCAATGTGGGGGTTTTCTGCCCCAGAGATGGGGTGAAGTAAGATCAGAGAGACTCATATACAATTACTGCCTGTGAGCAAGGGTGTGACCTCTCTGGGGAGTGACAAGGCAAGAGGAGGGAGCCTGTTCTGACCATGCTCCCCCCAACAAGGTCAAACTTCCTACAGTTAAATATGCCCTCAGTGGGATCCACGGTCCATCATGACAAAGGAGGAATTAACGGAAGTGGAGGAACATTTAACCCAATGGCACATGCCGGGAGTCGGAAAGCACACTGTGGCCCTCTCCCTAGATAAGAAGAGAAACCTACTGCATGGTTCACCTTGTGTGCCCCGAGACAGGGGCCACAGCGCAGGACAGGAATCCCAGAGGTGGAGTACCGTGGTGCCATGGACGGTGACCACGGGCTCCAGGCCACCATGTGGCAGAAACAGGGCAACTGGTAGACCTGACTGAAGAGTGAGTGAAAAGAGCCCTCACCCACCACAGTCACACCAAGAAGGGGAAGGGGACAGAAAGTCCTGTCAGCGTGGAGCAGGCAACAGCCAGTGAAGCAGGGCCGAGACCCAGCCGGCCAGCCTCAGCGCCTTCGCTCGCAGAATGAGTTCGTGAAGGCTGATCTGCCATAAGCTCACGGCCTCGCTGAAGGAGAACTGGGTCCTTCTGAAGAACGAACAGGCATTTTTCTTGTTGTGCCTGCAGGAGGGGCAAGAAAGGAGAGAACAGATAAGGAGGCAAGGAACACTCAGGATAGGTTAGGGCAGTGGAAGATGGTGGCTTTGCCGACTCACCAGCTCCCTGCCCCAGCGGACAAACCCTGGTCGTGTGATCATACCACTGCCCGTGGGGACCAGAGGAGCTCAGCTGTTCTGGGGAGCTTTCCAGATAAGGGGGGTAAGCAAGGGCGGCTGCCTCACAGGGCATCAAAGGCCTAGTAGACTCACTGGGTACAATGTTTCTATGCTTTCATTTTTCCAAAGTAGAGTTAACATTTATCAAACCAGAATCCCCCACACTCAAATATAAAAGCTTTCTCAAACTTTCTGAAGGGAAGAGTCACCTGGAAACCTGGTCAGGTGATCCTAGGAGGCTGTTATAGATGCCACCCAGCTCAATCCCTCTGCACCAACAGAAGGACATGAGGAAAGCTGGTATTGCTGACGAAGACCTATTCACAACTTTGTTTCCTGACCCCCAAAGAATGAATCATGTTCGGCCCTTTCCGTGCACAGTCTATTTGGCTATAATCTCATTTGATATTTGATAGTGGGTGCATGATATATGTGGTCAACTCTCCCTTCACCAAATCGTTGGCCAAAATGACCCATTCCCTGCCTGGGATTGATGGGCTGGGAGCTGACCACAGTATAGGCATCCCCTCTCGGGTGAGAACACTCAGCCCAGCCCAGGCCTTCCCACGTATTTGCCACCCCAGGTAGAAGGGCCTAGAACTCTCGCTCCTCTGCCGCTACCTCCCTGAGGAAGTACCCTTCCCTTCCTCATCAATACCGCAAGGGTAACAACACATCTAAACAGATCTGAGATCCTGAGAGGACCGAGAGCCGGCTGGCGACACTTTCCTGAGGCACAGGACCCCTGCAGGGGAACGAACACCGCCTCGCTGCCTGGCCACGCCTGGGAGGCAGGTCCCAGGACAGACTGTGATGGGACGTGCACCAGGGCATCCTGACCCCAAGCCCAGGGGACACTTGGATGGGACGGAGACTTTCAGGAAACATTTCACACTTTACCGAGGGTAAGAATCACCTGAAAAGCTTGACCAAGAGGGTGAGGTCCTAGAATCCACCAAGTTACCAAGTCCGGGTGGCTCTCTGGACCACCCGGAACACTGCCCTGGGGCATCAGCCAGTTCCCTGGAGCTGTTCTCTGCTCCTAACTTCCTGCAGGGAGATCTAGAGGTCGGGACACCGGGGCAGGCCCTGGGGACCGGTGGGAGAACGCGGAGGCAAGAAGGAGTCCTGGGGCCGGCCAAGGCGCTGGAGGGGAGGGGAGGCTGGAGCCCACACTCACGCGGCCAGCGCTCTGATGCAGCAACGCGACATGTTGAGGAAGGAGCTGGCACTGGCGCGGGTGCCCAGGGTGGTCTCGATGCCTCGCAGCAGGTCGTTAGTCTTGAAGATGAGCAGCATCGGGCGTGGCACATGGTTGAGGAGCTGGCTGATCTGGGGAAGGTAGGTGGCCGCGTTGTTGCGGATCTCCGAGTCCTACAGCAGCAACAGGGAGACAGCAGTGGTTGGCGGCATGGAAAGTGGAGCCCAGGATGGCAGGTGTCCAAGCCTGTGACCTGAGCGGCACAAGGAAGCTCCAGGAGGAAGCTTCTAGCACAGCTGCCTTGGTACCACCAGAAACCCCCTGCAAAGGGAAGCTTAGCACAGGAGCTTTTGCACACCTGGGTGGGACTTCTCACCTCAACTTCTGGCCAAGCACTGGACCCAGTACAGGAGCACATCAACGAGGGCCACATTTCTGCTGCCTCTGCTGTCCCAGCTCCCACAGCCAAGGTCACCAATACCCATTCCCAAGCCTCCAAACCAGTTCCGACTAGGGCAGGAAATCTACCTCCCACCAACCATTTGATGAGGATGGAGTCTGCCAGCCTCTCAGGCCAGGGTTTCACCCTTGAGTTACTCTCCAAGGCTTCTTCACTGGCCAGCAATGTCAGGCCAGGCCTGGAAGGAGCCCTGGAAGCTGGTACCGAGTCATGTCCCACATCCCTTCAGCCAGGCCCAAGCTGGTGCAGTTCATAGTTCTGAGCTCCTGACTCCAACCCAGCTCCAATATTGGGCCCATACCCTGCCTGACTCCGCACGCCAGCCAGAGCCCCTGCCCCCCACACAGCCATGCCTGTCACTGTTCTCCACTCTGGAGCCAGTCTCAACCCATCAGGTTCCCCTTGGTCCTGATGTCCCAGAACAGGATCCAGGGCTAACTAGCCCTTGCCCCATTCTGGTGGGCAAGTTTGGGGGGTGGCTTCCCACCCTTCCCCATCCCTGAGCTCTGCATGACGCTGGGCAGACGACTGCCCCCAACTCGAGTCCTGGGTATGATAGGGAGGCTCTGATCCCTTCTCGGTCTCGAGAAACGATGATGATGACAGTGAAAACAGCCAACAGACACTGTGCATTCACCGGGGAAGCTGGGCACTTAGAAAATGCTCGCATATTTTAACTCATTTAATCCTCACAACAACCCTGGCAGGTGAGTGCATCACCTCCTTTGAGAGGGGAAACTAAGACACCGAGAAACTAAGTAACTGGCCCAAGAGCCACAGGTAGTACGTGGTAAGTCGGGGTGCAAACTCAGGCAGTCCAGCTCCCAAGTCCACGCCCTCACCACCAGGCAGCACTGCCCCTCACCTCACAGCGGACCATGTGAGCCTGGGCAGGTCCTTGCTTCTTTGCCAAGCCAGTGTCCTCACCTAGAAGCTGGAACTGCTGATCCTCTGTGCCCAGGTCCTAGCAATACCGAGAGGGCCATCGGAGATAAGGCCCGGGGAGGTGCTCGGTGCCAGTCGCAGTCACGCGGGGCCCGCAGTGCTGCCAGAAGCGTCACCGCCTGGCCGCCTTCTGCAGCAGAGGCAGAACTCTGCCCTTTCGGGAACACATGTGCACTGCTGATAACTGAGCTGCTGTGAAACTGGAAATGTCCCTCAGGCAGGAGCTATCAGACTGGAACATCGCAACACGAAGCCAGACACCAAGAGGCCGGCTGCCTGCCTGCCACCTCCCACCACAGCTGCAGGTCACCCTGCTTGAGGGAGAGGACCTCATCAAAACCCTGCTCACCCCAGGGATCCCTGCCTCAGGCCAAATGGGAAGCACCTGCGTCCACCCAGACTACCTGGCAGGGGCATCCCAGCTTCCAGCTTGGACACTCCTGATGGTGGGTGTCTGCAGTAGGCCCCACTGGATGCCCATTTGACAGCCATCCCCCCATTCCTCTTTGTTAAAAGAACCCAATTTTTGTTCACTTGACCCCTTGGGGCTGTGCTCTTCAGGGAGGCAGAGCCCCTCCCTAGCCCCAGATCATTGATGATCTCAGCCAATCCTGGCTCTGGGCTCAATGCACCTGCCAAGTGATTGGTTTAGGCATGAGCATGTGACATGATTCTGACCAATGAGACACGAGGAGGAGTCTTTTGGGGGACTTCTGGGAAAGGTTTTCTTGCTCTTAAGAAACAATATGTGAAAAGAAATAGCCCTCGTTCCCACCTCTGGACACCACAGAATAAAGATGTAACGCCTGGATCTGCTGCACTCATCTCAGAATCACGAGAGAAAAACCATGAGAATCACAGAAGAGTCACCACCCGGAGCCCAGAAAGCACTGACCTGCTCAATCAACCAACCTGGACCCACCCACCTCCAAGCCTCTTGATTTAGATGGCAAATTACTAATTGTTTAAGCCACTTGTAGTTGGGAAAACATCCTCCTTGATACAATGTTGGAGGCTCCCTGACTTCCAAGACTAGGACTCAGAAAACTGAGCCCTTACATCTCAGAGAGGGGGCTGGCCTGGAACGGCTACATTTATTCTCCACCTGGGTTTTGTCCAGAGTAAGCAAACGGAGTACACATCTCCAGAATCTACACAGCACCTCTACTAGACTTGGTCCCAGAAATGCGGAGACCTTACAAAAAGATGTACCAGACAGAACGCCTGCCCTCCAGGTCCTCACAAGCTACTCAGAGAGTCCGTATAAGTATACAAAGAATAAGCCATCTGCACATGAGCAATCCAAGTATTAACAGATCACTTTTGGCAAAGGTATGAAGAGAGGCTTCCTGGGCTGGTGCTGTGGACTGAATTGTGCCCCCACTAAATCCCTACACTGAAGTTCTAATTCCAGTGTGACTTAGAAACTGGGCCTTTAAGGAGGTAATCAAAGTTAAGTGAATTCATAAGATGCAGGGGGCTACTTCAATAGGACTGATGTCCTTTCAAGAAGAGGAAGAGACACCAAGAGTGTGTACACACAAAGAAAGGCCATGTGAGGACACAATGAGAAGGCAGCCATCTGCAACTAGGAAGACAGCCCTCATCAGAAAGCACCCTGATAATACCTTGAAATTGAACTTCGAGCTCCAGAACTGTGAGAAAATGAATTTCTGTTGTTAAGACATCCGGTTGGTGGAATTCTATTATAGCAATCCAAACTGACTACTACAGTAGCATTTATGCTGGGTCTTTATGAGTGAATAAAAAAAATATATGCAAAAATAAAATTCAAACTTAGTTAATAAAAACAGATATCATTTATTGAGTTCCTACTTATGCCATGTGATCTTGTCCATTCTTATAGCTTTTTTTTTTTTTTTTTTTTTTTTTTTACTTTATTGGTTTTAGAGAGAGAGGAAGGGAGAGGGAGAGAGAGCTAGAAACATCAATGAGAGAGAACATCGATTGGCCGCCTCCCGGGCCCACAACCTGGGCGGTATGTCCTCACCGGGAATCAAACCAGCAACCTCTTGGTGCATGGGTTGACACTCAACCACTGAGCCAAATCAGCCGGACCATTCCTGTAGCTTTAACTACCATCTATATATGCTAAGGATTCCCAAATTTATATCTTAAGCTTGAACCTCTTCTTTGAGCTACAGGCTTAACTGCCCATGATACCTCTATCTCAATGCTCAAGGGAACCACTGATACTCCCACCCCAAATATGGCCTTCCCCAAGCCTTCCCTATGTCAGGAGGTGGCACTATCCTCTTTGTCCTATAATTCACCCCCAAAGAGCTATGACGCAACTTTACATCCTCTCTACATCCAAGCTGACAAAAGCCTCTCAGTCTTAAGTCCAAAATGCATCTTGGCTCCACCTGCTTCTCTCCACCTCCACTGTCATTAGTGTAGTCTGAGCCCCCTGAAACTCAAAGAGGTGACAAGAACTACCCAAGGTCATGTCACCAGGAAAAGCAGATGCTGGAAATAGGACCCAGGTCTTTCTAACTGCACAAGTAGGAGCCTGACCCCTGTGGTGAGCCCGAGCCCATCCCCACGTGGGTACGGGCACGTCTGCACAAGTCTGGCAAACTGACAGCTTGGGAGACAGAAGCCCATTCCGTGATGGATGGAGAAGCCAGGAGAGAGGGAGCTCTGGCCAGGAAGAACGAGCCGCCACATGCGTCCTTGTGGTGGGGCAGAGGTGAAATGAGTACAGGGAGGTGTTACATGGATCCGTCTCAGCCCAGGCACCATGGGACTGCTGTCTAGATCCAAAGAAGAGATGAACTACAAAGAAAGACCAAAAAGCTGTCTCACTAAAAACTCCATAAGGCAGTGGGACAAGCAACACGGCATGAGAACTAAAGCACTGGACCCAGTAGGGTGCCCCAGAGGAATCACACAATGGGAGACAGTGCCAGGAAGAGACAGCAGACTTACTTACGAGACAGACCCTGGGGATCCCCAGAAGTCCTGGGGAAAACTTTGGGGAAGCCTGAAATCCTGTGTGAGCAGGTTGGAGTGAAAGCCACAGTCTGATCACATGGTTAACATGACCTGTTTGTACTCTGGGTTGACGGGGCCAGGACTGGAATATGGCTCCCTTTCCCTCCTTCCATCCAGGGACGCTGTTTCTCCTCCCCTCCATCCTGCTCGTCCACTGTATCTCCAGTTCTGCCCACCTCCCCACCCCCACAGCCCACCAGATAGAACCTCAGGCTCCAGACAGAAGGGATCCAAAGGCCCTCCCTGGTCCTGCCCTTTGCATTCAGAAGAGGGCGGGGCCAGGAGGGCACCTACCTCAGTGGCAGTGACGGGAGCTTGGCTGATGCCCCTGTTGACGGAGCTCCAGGAGCGGGCCGTCAGCATGCAGGCCAGCAGGGGGTAGAGATCGCCAGCTCCAAGTCGCTGGCTGTACTTCTTCACGCTCTCCATGTCGGTCCAGATCAGCGACTGCCAGAGGTGGCAGTAATCCAGGCGGAATTCCTCCGTGAGCACCTGCGGTGGGGGCAGCAGTGGCCGGACCTGAGCCTCCCCGCCCTAAGAAGACCTAGTTCCTGGCTGGAGTGACCACTGTGAAGGGGATTGGATGAAGACCATGGCTCCTACACAACATCTGCTCCCCCCCACCCACCCAAAAATTCAGTCCAAGTTCAAAGCTACTCTTTGGCCAGCCTTGGTCCTAAGTGGCAGAAATTACCAAGTGCCCACTAACATCACATTCCCCGCCACCCTCCTAGTCAGATGCGGCCCTCTGCCTGAGCGCCGACCGGCAGAACGTGGCAGAAGCTCCATTCGCAGACTTGGCCCATGCAGGCTCCTTTGAGCCCTTACCCCTATGGCTGCAGATGACAAGACCACCCCGAGGGAGGCCTAGGAGGCATGGCCTCCCCCACCCACCCAGGACTGGCACGTGAGTGAGCCCTAGATACCTGCTGTGTCTGGGCCGTCACTCATTCCGGGGCTACGTGTGACAGCGGCTGGCCCACCTTAAACTGACGTGCCCAACGTCACTGGGCCTTTCGGTGGGGGCCAAGGCTCTGGGAGAGGGCCCTGAGGGAAGGAGTAGGAGACCACAGAGAAAACCTCCCCGAGGCTCCTCTGTCTCCCGGAATTAAACCAGGCCCTGGGCCCCAGGGTTGGCAGCAAGCTTCCCAACTTCCAGGCGGGACTTGTGGCTCCTCTGAACCAGCTCTGCATCCCAAGTGCAGGGGACAGAGCCCCTGTCAGGCCCAGTGCCCTTTCCGGCTACACATCACCTCGTCATGAGGCCGAACTGCCCCTCCCTTCCAAGTCCCAGCTCACGTCCCAGGGTCGGGCCGGCCTGGGCTTCCACTTTCACATCCCGGGCACACTCCCAGGCACTCCCTACAGCGCCCGGCCGCAAAGGAGGCATTCCCAGCCTCACTTACTGAGGAGGAAGCTGAGGCTCCGGGAGTGTAAGACTGACTTGCACAAAATGACAGCTCTGGGCCTAGGGCAGGGCCTCTCCAGATACCCTGGCCATCTGCATCCCGTTTCTGTGGCCCGTAGGGGAGCTCAGTGGACAGGACTAGCCCTGGGGCTGGCTGGGAGGGAAAGGCTCTCCTACCTGGTAGAGCCCATGGTCCAACAGGACAATTTCTGCCTTTCCCGTGTCTGGGTGCTTCCGCACCAGCACATTGCCCGGGTGGGGGTCGCAGTGCACGAACCCGTTGACAAAGACCATCTCACTGTACACCTTGCCCAGGTGGCGCGAGATCTGGAAGAGAAGGGAGTCAGGTGGGAGTTGATTGGCATTAACATCTGCCTGCTCTGGGTCCTCAAGCCAATCACCTTCGAGAGGAAGGCTGGCCCTGGCCTGTATGGCTCAGCAGTAAGAGCATCACCCACGGACCAAAGAGGCCTGGGTTCGGTTCCTGCTAAGGGCACGTACCTCTATTGCAGTTTGTCCCCGGCCCCGGTTGGCGCCGTGTGGGTGGCAACCAATCAATGTCTCTCTCTCTCTCTTTCTCCCTTTCTCCCTTCAGTTCTATCTGAAGATAAATATAAAAAATAAAATAAAATAAAAGAGGAAGGTCAGACAGATTAAGTGGGTGTAAGCGGTCCTGGTAAAAGTGGTGGCTCGATGATGCCACATTCTGGAGCTTAAACTAGGAGCTGAGTTCTCATCCAGTTGTGTTTAACTTTAGCTGCACATTCGATTCACCTGGAACCTAGAAATGCTGGGGGTGGTACCCGGGCATCAGTATTTTACGTTCCCATGGTGATGTGAATATGTGGCAAAGTAGAACCACTGCCTCTTGTTTTTCTGGTGGCTGTAACACCCGCCTCCCTCTCCACTCTTCCCTATTTCCCTTATCAGTCCCTCTTCATTTTTCCCCCAAAGTTGAAAATGGGCTAGAAAGCTGGGGTGGAGGAGTTAATGCACCGGCCCCTCCCCCAAAGAGTAAGGCTAGGGGACTGAGGACCAGGAATAAGTGACCCCACCAGCTCCAGGCCAGTCCCAGGAGGAACCAGAGTCACAAGCCCTTCTTCCCCTCTCCCTGCAGGCCCCTTTCCCTTCCCCCTCCCGGTCAGAGCCCACTGCTAATCTGATTTATGATGTCTGCACAGAAGAAGTGACACTGGAGAGGCCCTTTAATCATCCTGTCACTGCTGCTTCCCCTGCCGAGGCGGTCTTCTTATCTCTACTCCCTTTTTATTAAAGCTAAAAGCCTCTTCCCAGCTAGGAAACAGCTGCTGAATAGAGCCAGACCTGGGCCCACAGATGGTGTACCAAAGGGCTTCCACGGACACAGAGATGCTCAACCCAGAAAGCTGACGCCCAGGACACTCTGCCCTTGCATTCCTTTCAGCCTCAGCTGGACCCCATGGTCACTAACAAACACATCCCAGCCAGAGGAGAGGGGCTGGGCTCATCAGGTGGGGAACACAGGATTAAGGTCTTAAGATAAATACTCAACTGCTTTCCATGGCCTACAAAGTCTTGCACGACCAAGTCCAGCCTCCCTCCCTGGTCTCATCTTGCACACTGACATTCCAGCTATATCTGCTTTCTTTCTCTTCTCCAATGATCCCCATGCCTTCCTACCTCAGGGCCTTGGCATGTGATAGTACCTCTGCCAGGAGCTTGCTTCTTGTCTCCCCTTCACCTGGCTCACTCCTTTCTTTCTCCCCATCTCAGCTGAGCATCACCTGTCTGGGAAAACCTTCCCTGAGCTCCCAGACCAGATGAGGTCCTCCCACCACACACTCTCAGAGAATGTTGAACTTTATTCTCACGGCATGAGCACACAGTTTATGTCACTATTTGATTAGTGATCATCTAACCCACTATCATAAGCTCCAAAGGTGGCAGGGACTGGCCTTTTTTTGAACAGCTTCATTGAGGTGGAGTCTACACAGCATAAACTGGCTCTGTCACGCATACACTTGCCTGTAACAGGCCTGGCATGTGAATGTACGACTCTGCCTTCAGCATAATTGAGACCTTTGTCTCCCTGGGGTTTTTTTTTAGATGTCCTGGTTCCTGCCTCTGATGCCACTCCTAACCCCATTAATCTCCTCACAATCCCAATCGATTATAATTGGGCCCAAAATAAATCAAGAATAACCCTACTTCAGTAACAATCGCTGCCATCCCTATTAAAAGCCCTAAAAGTAGGTCCAGTTATGATCCCCATTTTGCAGATGAGGAACTGAGATGCATCGAGTGTAACCTCCCACAGCTGCGTGGCTAGAAAGTGGGTAGAGCCAGGATTCAAACCAGATGTGACCCCACAGCCTGCTAGTGACCATTATTCTGCACTGGCTCCCACTGACTTCTGCACTCTCAACCGAACCCCATGACTTCAAACAAGTCTCTTAGACGCTCAGCTTCAGTAAAATGGAAATAACAGCAGGGCCCCTCTCCAGGGCTACCGTAGGGGTAAATGAGAATTTTACTGTGCTTGGAACCTAGCGACCGCCCTTCAGTGCCCCTGCTGTTACTGATCATCGTAGCACACCTGGGGGGCGGCAGACTGGTGTCACTACCCCCCTTTGAGACGAGGAAACCGGGACTAAAGCAGCTGTCTAAAGCCCCGAGGCTGGGTCCTGCCACCACACAGCTCGCCGGCTCCTGACATTTGCCTTGGGGGGAACGAATCCCAGCACTCAGTGTCTGTTGGCATCTGGAGCAGGACTTGGCCCCATGTCAAGTTCGCAGACTTCAGCTGAGATGTCAGGTGTCCCAGAGCCACCTGGGAAAGGGGGCCCAGCCAGAGCTGGTCCTGGGAGAGCCAGCAAGTCCCCGCCCTGTGCCCCTGAGAACGCCTTTTGTTGGGTGCTTTGGCGCTCCATGGAGCCATGTTCTGAAAGGCTGTGTTTGCCAAACCAACTGGATTTATTAAGTAATAATTCATTTTTATTTGTCAAGGATGCATAGAAGGTCCAATCAGGGCTCCTGATCAGCCCAAGATAAGCTGTGCAGCCAGACTGAGCTGACGGAATTCCAGCCAAAAGCAGAGAAATGACATTTCATTTAGTCTGGGCAGGCCTGTCATGGGGAGATGTATGATCTCCCTTAAGCTTTCTGAAATATTGCTAATCGCTCTGGGCCCCCTATTACTACATTGAAAGACGGCCCCTGGGGGCTGAGGACCAGGATGGGGGTGTCCTTGCCCCTGAGAGCGAGCTGCTGCCAGGAGAGGGAGAGGGAGAGGGAGAGGGAGAGGGAGAGGGAGAGGGAGAGGGAGAGGGAGAGGGAGAGGCACTGCCCACTGAAGCTCGCACACACGAGCCAAGACCCAGAGTGCCCCCTTTCAACGCCCATCCACCTGCCCTGCCTGGGTGTCTTCCACTGAGGGCTGCTCTGGATGTTCACTGAACCAGATTTCACCAGGGCAGGCAGGTGCGCTAGACAGTCCAGAGGGAGAACCAGGCGAGGCACCCAGCTTCACTCTGGGGCCGTCTCGGTACTGCCAATGAGGGTATGGATGACCTGGAGGACAAGTCGCCTCCTCTCTCAATCTGGGTCTAAGTTCCCTTAGCTGTTAAGTGGGACTAGCTCTATCTGCTCCTCTTCCTCACAGGGAAACAGGGAAACAAGATTCGAGGTCAAAATGTGATCACGTATGGGGAAGCGCTTTATACACCGGTGATTTTCAACCTTTTCCATCTCATGGCACACATAAACTAATTACTAAAGTTCTGTAGCACACCAAAAAATATGTTGTATTTTTTGCCTGACAAAAAGATTAAGTATAATTTTGGCTGATTTACAACAAAAAAAATAATAATAGTAATTACCTACCCTGTTTGCTCCAAAGTGACTTTTTAAAAAAATCGGTGCCAATGCTTATATGTAAGGATTTGTGACACCAAGAATTAACCAATCAGATGCAAGTCTATTATATGACCTATGTATTTATGGTTCAAAACAGGGCATTCACACTAAACGGCTACTGTTGTGTTGGTTGTTGTTGGTTTTTTATTTGACAATCTAAGGGAAAAGAGGTCAATACCCCTGACTAAGTAGTCAGGTAGTGCATGTTTTAAAAATTCTTGCGGCACACAAGTTGAAAATCACTGCACTACACTATAAGACACATAAACGTGTTTGTTTGTAATGGTATAGCTTATTATTCTAAACTTGGGGGAAAAAGACACCCTGTATCACCATCAAAGAGTAATTTTAAAAAGTTAAAAACATGACCCTCACACAAATATAGAAAGAACACACTGAAGATTATTTAACTCATCAATGAAGAACCAAATGTGAAGGTGGAGTGGTTCAAAGAGAATTCTGAGGGCCTGGGTGTCTAGGGACATTTAAACAGGAATAAGAGCCTAAGGTTCCTGAGTGAGATAATAAATCAGTTACTGTCCTGCAGGGCAATAGGGAAATCATAACCTTTGGGGTTTTCTACTGGGCAGAAATCATTTGCATATCTACTGGTTAATATCTACAGGTTGACATATAATTAATTTTTCAATAGCAAAGTCTAACAAAAGCATATTCCTCTAAATAGTAAAAAAATCTTTCAGTGGGCTGATTGAACAAGGTTCAAAATAACTTTAAAATCAAACTGGGCACTCTTGGCCTTATTTCTAAATTTGGGGTGATTTTTCTTTACATCTGTCAGAATTGTAGGAAATAGTCTCTGGGAAACAATTTGCCCCGAAAAAAAAGGTAGCCAGACCCCTCCAACTCACAAAGATATCAAGGGTCCCAGGAGACACCTAAAGCCATCACTGGGCACACAACCCTCTCTCCTACTCCCATAATACTTCAGCTATGTCTCATGATTAAGAATAAACAATTTATTTATTTATTTATTTATTTATTTATTTATTTATTTATTTTTTATCCTCACCTGAGGACAGTTTTCCATTTTTTGTTCAGATAGAGTGGGAGGGAGAGAGAGGAAGAGAGAAAGAAAGAGAGAAACACTGACGTGAAAGGGACACATCGAGTGGCTGCCACCCGCACAACCAATCAGGGCTGGGGACAAACTGCAACCGAGGTACATGCCCTTAGTGGAAACCAAACCCGAGTCTCTCTGGACCGCAGGCCGATGCTCTAACCACTGAGCAAAACCACCCAGGGCAAGAATAAACAACTTAAAATAATGCTGTGCCCTGGCTGGTTTAGCTCAGCAGTTAGAGTGTCAGCCTGCAGACTGAAGAGTCACAGGTTTGATTCTGATCAAGGGCACATACTTCGGTTGCAGTTCAGTCCCTGGCCCTGGTCAGGGTTGTGCAGGAGGCAACCGATCG